GGTACCCGGACATCTTCATGAGAGAGGAGGTGGCGCTGAAAATCAACCTGCCCGAGTCCCGCGTGCAGGTGAGGGACACCTGGGGACACCTGGGGACACCTGGGGACATTGGGGACATTGGGGACACTGGGGACACTGGGGACACTGGGGACATTGGGGGGATTGGGGACATTGGGGACATTGGGGACACTGGTGACATTGGGGACATTGGGGACACTGGGGACATTGGGGACATTGGGGACATTGAGGGGATTGGGGACATTGGGGACATTGAGGGGATTGGTGACATTGGGGACATTGGGGACATTGAGGGGATTGGGGACATTGGGGACATTGGGGACACTGGTGACATTGGGGACATTGGGGACACTGGGGACATTGGGGACATTGGGGACATTGAGGGAGCGGGTGTGCCGGGAACTGCCCCGGATCGTGGGGACACTGCCCAAAGGTGAGGGGACATTGGGGACATTGGGGACATTGAGGGGATTGGGGACACTGAGGGGATTGGGGACATTGGGGACATTGAGGGGATTGGGGACATTGAGGACATTGGGGACATCGGGGGGTTTGGGGACATTGGGGACACTGAGGGGATTGGGGACATCAGGGATTTTGGGGCTATTTTGCGACACATTTGGGGCCATTTGGGGCCATTTGGGGACACATTTGGGGCCATTTGAGGACACATTTGGGGACACATTTGGGGCCATTTGGGGACACATTTGGGGACACATTTGGGGACACATTTGGGGACACATTTGGGGACACATTTGGGACACATTTGGGGACACATTTTGAGGCCATTTTAGGCCACTTTTGGGGCCATTTTAGGGCCCATTCTGGGGACGTTGGCGGCCATTTTGAGGCGGCCATTTTGTGACACCCTCAGGACCCTGCGGCCATTTTGGGTCATTTTGGAGCCATTTTGGGTCCATTTTGGGCCATTTTGGGTCCATTTTGGGTCATTTTGGAGCCATTTGGGGTCCATTTTGGGCCATTTTGGGTCATTTTGGAGCCATTTTGTCTCCATTTTGGGCCACATTTGGGGCCATTTTGAGGCCACATTTGGGGGACCATTTTGGCACCATTTTGAGGCCATTTTGTCACCATTTTGTCTCCATTTTGGGGCACATTTGGGGCCCCATTTTGGCTCCATTTTCGCTCCATTTTGACATCATTTTGGCACCATTTTAACCCCATTTTGGAGCCATTTTGGAGCCCTTTTTGACACCATTTTGGCTCCATTTTGGGACTGTTTTGAAGCCATTTTTGACCCCATTTTGGCTCCATTTTGGCACCATTTTGGCTCCATTTTGTCACCATTTTGACCCCATTTTGGAGCCATCTTTGACCCCATTTTGGCTCCATTTTGGAGCCATTTTTGACCCCATTTTGGTTCCACTTTGAGCCACATTTGGCAGCATTTTGACCCCATTTTGGCTCCATTTTGACCCCATTTTGGAGCCATTTTGGCCCCATTTTGGGACCATTTTGGAGCCAATTTGGAGCCATTTTGGGCCATTTTGGAGCCATTTTGGGCCACATTTGGCGCCACTTTGGGGCCAATTTGGGCCACATTTGGCAGCATTTTGACCCCATTTTGGCTCCATTTTGACCCCATTTTGGAGCCATTTTTGACCCCATTTTGACCCCATTTTGTCACCATTCTGAGCCAAACCCTTCTCATCCCCAGCTCCCCCTCAGCTGCGCATCGTCCCCGAGCGCTCGGGCGCCGCGCTGACGCTGGCGTGTCACGCCTGGGGCTTCTCCCCGCCCGCCATCACCCTGAGGTGGCTCCGCAACGGCGCCGCCATCGAGGAGCCGCGGGGGCCGCCCCGGGCGCTGCCGCTGGGCGACGGAACCTTCCGGGCCCAGGTGAACATCGAGGTGACGCCGGCGACGGCCGGGGACACCTTGGAGTGCTGGGCCCTGCACCCCAGCCTGGAGGAGGCCATCAGCGTCACGTGGGGTGAGGGGAATTTGGGGGGTTTTTGGGGGGGATTTTTTTTGGATTTTTTGGGGGATTTTTTGGGAATTTTTTTGGGATTTTTTGGGGATTTTTTGGGATTTTTTTTTTTATTTTTGGAGGATTTTTTTGGGCATTTTTTTTGGAATTTTTGGGGGATTTTTTTGGGATTTTTTTATTTTTTGGGAATTTTTTGGGGGGATTTTTTTTTAATTTTGGGGGGATTTTTGGGATTTTTTGGGAATTTTTTGGGAATTTTTTTGGGATTTTTTGGGATTTTTTGGGATTTTTGGAGGATTTTTTTGGGGATTTTTTTGGAATTTTTGGGGGATTTTTTGAGGATTTTTTTTGATTTTTTGGTTTTTTTTTATTTTTTGGGAATTTTTGGGGGGATTTGTTTTGAATTTTGGGGGGATTTTTTGGGAATTTTTGGGGGATTTTTTGGGAATTTTTGGGGGATTTTTTGGGAATTTTTGGGGGATTTTTTGGGAATTTTTTTGGGATTTTTTGGGG